ACTGAGAAGTAGGCAGCGAGAGGGGGAGAAGAGGTGGTGGACTTAGAAGAGGAAGAAGAAGAACTCTCTCTCTCTCTCAGTCCAGTACTAACCTGCGAAGTTGGCGCCTTGATGCAGGTATCACGAAGATGGAGCTGGAGCGATGGCGCCACAGGTAAGTACCGCTGGCCTCCGCCAGCATCTCTCTCCCATATCACTACTACCTCTACTGCTATAGCGCCCAGCGCTGAAGACTACAGCTATGGCGCCCAGCGCTGAAGACTACAGCTATGGCGCCCAGCGCTGAAGACTACCACTAGCGCTATCTGCCCTTGAGCAGCGCTCCTCCTGAGTGCTGCTCCGCTATCCTGAAGACTACCCTGACTGTCTGACTACCTACCCGTGAAGTGCCTGGGAAGTTCCTATGTGCTCTCACGGGTGTGCCTCCTGACTCGTGCGAGCAGTCCAGGAGGCTGCTCTTGCCAATGCCGAAGGCAGGCAGGGGCTGCAGCTGCAGATCCTGCTCGAGCACGTGAGGAACAGGCTATTTCTGGCCTGTTCCGCATCCCTGTTTACGTGCCTGAGTCTTAGGGGCAGGTCGAAACAATGAGGGCCTGAAAATGGCCCTCCGTTTCAGGCTGGAAAAACTCTGGGTCTGAAAGACCCAGAAATAGGCTGAAACGGAGTAGGGCCTGCAGGCCCTCGTTTTTCAGCTTTCTGGCTGAAACGACCGGGGCCTGTAAGCCCTAAGTTTTAGGCTTTTAGGCTGAATGTCCGGGACGGGCCCTGCAGGGCCCGTGTGGCTACGCAGTATGCCACACCTTCCCACTTGCCCACTTGCCTCTGTCTAAATGTGAGCAAGCTCCGAAAGGCCACCTTCCGGAAGTCCATAGACTTGGCCTTTCAGTACCGTAGCAGCTACAAACTTGACAGCAGCTACGACTTTGACCCTTTGCAGGAGCTGCAGCTACGACTCCTAGGACCTGCTAAGACCTACAAACGACAGGTCTACAGATCGAACCCCTACAACCTACGGACCTACGACAGCCTCCCAACTACCTTCTTAACCGAAAAAAACGTACGTACGTTCTATTCAAATTACCTCCGGAAATCGGGTTTTAAGAAATCGCTTGTTTTTCCCCGAATAGAACGTACGTTCGAATACAACGTACGTACATACAACGTACGTATGTTGTATTCAAATTTTTGGAATTTCAAAAATAATCAAAAAAATCCGAAAAAAAAAAAATGTTCTACAACAATGCAATACGAACAACGTTTGCCTGAGGGTCTTATCGAAATTCACGAGAAAATTCGATAAAAAAATAAAAACGAGGATGAAAATGTTTTTTACTGATTTTTTCAGAATTTCGATTTAGAAAAGAAAACTGCAGTAAAAAATCCGAAAAAAAAGTATGTTGTACAACATTGCAATGCAAACAACTTTTGCCTGAGGGTCTTGGCGAAATTCCCAACCAAATTTGAGATAAAAATAAAAACAATGGCGGTACTACAGGCTTCTGAAAAGTTCTACCCTAAAACTCGTTCTATAACGTACGTACGTTGTATTCGTATACAAGGTACGTACGTTTTTTTCGGGTTAAGAAGGTAGTGCGAATACACAAGTCACGGGTTCAACTCTCAGGGTCGACTCAGATACTGTACACAGGTGAAGTGAGGACTAGGGATCGACCCCTGGGATCTGCATCGGCTACTGGGAAAGGTGGAATCCGTTTCACTCCGAAAGGGCCCTTTTATTGAAAGGCTCGTTACGCTGGACACCCTACAGGACAGACCATTCAACATACCCATGGCAAAATTTTCCTTTTGCTGACGATTTAACATCATGAGAGCTTTCAACTCGTCTAAAATGTGAATCAATTGGGCAGAAACCATAGGGTGGTGGCTAACGGATCCCCTGAACTTGATCCCAACCCTCTCTCTCTCTCTCTATCTCTCTCTCTCTCTCTCTCTCTCTCTCTCTGTGGCATGCTGAGCACCACACAGGCCCCGCAGGGCCCGACCAGGCAGGACAGGTTTAGGTAGGGGCCCTTCAGGCCCTGTGTCGGTTCAGTTTAAGTAGAGGCCCGTTAGGTCGATAGGCCCGGGCGCCCGTTTTGACGCCAGACCCGGTATAGGCCCAGTAGGTGCCAGGCCGTTTTCAGATCCTCTTTTGAATTCGACGATTTGAATTTGGGCGCCAAACTTAGGCACCAGATTTAGGATCCAGACTTTTGGCGCCAGGGACTGGTGCCGTTCGGCATTGGCAAGAGCAGCCTCCCAGGCAGACCAACGATATATATAGTTGGTCCGCCTAGGAGGTGGCATTCTGTCTTGAGGCATTCAGCAGCGGTACTTTCCAGGAGCGCTGCAGCAGTAGTAGGTAATGATAGGAGTAGTCACCAAGCGCTGGGCGCTGCTAGGACGTTAGGGTAGCGTCGAGAGGGAGAAGAGTGGCGGAGGCCAAGGGGACTCACCTGGGAGCTTACCTGTGATGCCATCGCCCCAGCTCCATCTTCAGGGTACCTGCAGCAAGGCGCCACCTTTCAGGTTAGTGCCTGGCACAGCGAGAGAGAGAGAGAGAGAGAGAGAGAGAGAGAGAGAGAGAGAGAGAGAGAGAGAGAGAGCTTCTTCTTCCTCTTCTTCCCCCAGTCCACCATCTCTCCCTCACCCTCCAGCTATCTGACTTCTCAGTGTCGACAGACTATAAGAGAGAGAGACAGAGATTTGTGACGTTGGGATGTTAACGGCATTTGGGCACAGAGTCGACCTTGGGACAGAGACATTGATGGGGGACTATTTGGGATCGATACCAACGACATTTGTGTTGACGACATTCTCATCTCCTCGCTCTTCTTCGTCTGCTCCTCTTCATTTGTGATCTGAGCCTGGTGCATTCTTCCTGTGTGTAGCACCAGGCCCCTTCACACCTTGCGATGATGATGATGTATGTTTGGTCTGCATTGCAACATTGATTGGTCTGATCATTGGTAATATTGCCTTCCGCTGCGCTATCCTGTACTATGTGAGAGAGGTCGGTTCTTGTTTTGGTCTGCACCATTACGGTGTGCGACAGTTTGGTATCGGAGCAGACCTCTCAATCAGAGGATCTGCCCAATCAAGGAGCCAGCTTGATTGATTGATTGATTGTTAATTGGCTAATCAAGTAGGACTTCATCAACTTCCTGCAAAAAAAATATTTTTTTTCTCTTTTGCTGATGCAAGGAAGATGAGCAATAGTGAACTTCCGCAATCAAACAGCATCATACTGCAATGACTTGCTGATTTCTACTGCCGAGACTGCCTGCGAGGCTGTACACTAACCGGTAGGGTTAGATTCGTAATTTTGTTTGGCTGAGGGCTAACCGAGAGACCTACCTGTAAGGAAATTCGTGAGGGACAGATTTGCAAATCCGGGAAAATACAGGCCCGGTACTAACCGAATTCCTACAGCTACCCTAACTGCCTATAGCAGGCCCGGGCTACCCCTAGGACGGACAGGCCCTAAGCGGCCTATACTGTTAGACGGTCCCATAGCCTATAGCCGGGTCCGGTAGAGGCCGAGACGCCGAAACATCAACGGTACCGGTCGGTCAGTCAGTCCGGTCTAGGTCTAGAGAGTCTATAGATAGGTTAGGCCCATCGGTTCAGGACTTTTGGCAGTTCATTTTCTCGCAAGAAGCGTTGGAGAAGCCAAGCAAGTTGGTGGCGGTACCTGTCTACAGGTGGCATCCTGAGACGCGCCGTGACAGCAGCCATAGCCGGCCCTCTCTGAGTCTGCCATAGCTGGGGCATCCTCAGCGCATCTACCCCTGGGGGTATCTGCGTATGGCCGGGCTGTATCGAGGCGCTACAGTGGTGGTTCGTGGGTGGTGGCAGCCATAGCTGCGTGTTCCTTCGTTAGAGTTGTCCATCGGCACTGAAGACTTCATCGCAGGACCTGTTCTTCATCAGGGTGGTTGGTGCTGGCCTCTGGGAGGCTGTTCTGATGCAGCGCTACTAACTGGGTGTAGGATAGARAGTGGGGTGTGAGTTCTGAGTGTGGCAAGATACTAGAACAAACTCTGTTACAATAATTGTGTGAGTGGCTCATCATCAGTGACAGTTTCAATTGTGATCTTCGCAGGTTCKTTCTTGTGATTGGTTGTTGGGAGTTGTGTCAGAGAGTGAGAAACACTGTGTGTCTTCTCCCCCAGCTGTGCATAATTGTCTTCCGCTGTTTATCTTCACCTGTGTGCAGTGTGGACTCTGTCTCCTCTCTCCCCTTCTCTTATGCATGTATGGGCATGTGTGAGATTGTCTGTGTGTGAGTGGCGAGAAAATTCGCCAGACAACCAAGTTCATAACAATATACATGAGACCAGATAGTCGTGACCTCGAACCAAAAGCAGAATTGCATCACGAGTTTCACCAAATAAGAGTACACCAGAAGTTCGTAATTGACAATGCTGGAATAGTCTCATTATCATCAACGAAGAACCAATGTTGATATCCTATCTGGCGCTCGGCGCCCAGACTACAAATGGCAGATCCTATCTAGCCTAGACTACAATGCCGAAGATGACGACAACAGCTCTCCCGAAGTACGAGCAGATAGTGGCCAATGCCGCACGCTTCCAGCACCAGGTATGTCTCTCGCATCACTCACAACCTCGTTCCCCAACACACAGATGCAACATGCACCCAAGGACCACCCTGCGCCTCACCCAGCTCCCAACAACGCAGCTCGGCTATGGCTGCCTGCTCCTTCCAGCTCGCCCGTGAGCGCGTGAGCGCTAGCCAGCTTCAGCGCAGCAGCGCTTGCGCAGCATGCAGCCAGCACC